ATATATATATATATATATATATATATATATATATATATATATATCTATATATATATTTTAGTGGATTCTGTTGGGCTTAGGTTCATAAAAGAAATTTTAGTTTGATACAAAGACATTTTTATTTATTTTTTCCGACGTTTCGGCAGGGAATCCATGCCTTTTTCAAGAATATATATTGACTAAAAAAAACATTTCATGACAGACATAATACGGTTTAAAAAATAAACTTTTGACTTACCAAGCATGTAAATATTAGGTATTAACAATTAGACGTCACAATTAAAATAATATTAAAACATAGGACATACCCACTAAGTCACTACAAGTAAAATGTATTTTAAATCTACTGTGTTATTTATTGATGTTAGTTTATCGTTTAAATAATCAGGTATTTTAACATCATAGGTGTTCTCAGATTGACTTTTTACGTGTTTTTAAATTAAGTTAAAATCTATTTTGTTCAAATTTTTGACATCTTTTTTATCATTTATTGCGTTATTATTTTTTTTTATTTGTATAGACTCTAAAAGCTCTCTCTTTTTCCTGTTGGATTCACTTTTTAGAATCTGGGTTTTCTCAAAATCAAATTTATGTTTTTTTTCGTTTTCATGTTTTGTGAGGGCGATTGAGTTTTTTTTGTCATATTTGTGGGAACGTATTCTTGAATTAAGTAGCTGACTGGTTTGTCCAATATAAACTCCATCACAATCCGAGCAGGGAATTTCATATACAACATGCGATCTTTTTAATAGAGGGGTTTTTGTTTTCAATCTTGTAAAATTCCTTTTCAAAAGATTGTGACCTTTATGAGCAACCGTAATATTATGTTTAGACAGAAGATTTGCGATTTGTTCTGATAATCCTTTTATATAGGGGAGAGACATATAGTTTTTCTTTACCGTGTTGTTTTCATTGCTATTATTGTTATTGTAGAATTTATGCAGTCGCGATTTGAAAGTGTTGTCAATAAGGTGGTGTGGGTATGAATTAAGTGTTAGTGCTGTTTCTGCTTTTTTAATGGCCTGAGGTCTATTGATAGGATCGGATAATCTAATAGCTCTATCAGCGAGTCCGATAACTACTGATTTCTTTTGAGACAGGGGATGATGAGAGTTGAAATTCAGATATCTCGACGACCAGGTTTCTTTGGTTTACCATGAAGTAGTTATAGTGCTGTTTTTTCTATGCAAGGTCAGGTCCAGAAAATTAATTTGATAATTTTTTTCAATCTCTAATGTGAATTTTAGTTTTTGGTTAAAGTTATTGAATTCATTTAGTAAATTATCCATCTTATCCTCTGGTGCTGCACTCAAGCAGTCATCTATATAGCGATAGAAAAAGGTATATCAAAATCTATTTTATTTAAAACAATTTCCTCTAGATGCTCTAAAACTAATTGAGCGATGGCACTGGATATGCTAGCACCCATAGCACATCCATCTGTTTGTTGGAAGATTTTGTTTTTATATTGGAAATAGGTTGACTTTAATGTTGTTTCGACTGCTATTATTATTGGAATATTGGTGTATAAAGATACCACATCGAGAGAAACTAATTTATAGTTTGAAGGTAAATGTATATTTTTAAGTTTTAATTTCAGGTGATCAGCGTCTTTTAAATAGTGTGGATTTATCGTTTAAAACAATTTTAGTCAATATTTTTTTTGACGATTTTTTTTTTGAAGGTAAGAACTAAATTCAAACTATATATATATATATATATATATATATATATATATATATATATATATATATATATATATATTTATATATATATATATATATATATATATATTTATATATATATATATATATATATATATATATATATATATATATATATATATACATATATACAACGGTATTTGGGCTGCACCCCCTTTCGGTAGGGATCTATGGAGAGTATCACCGAGCCGCAAGCCCTTATCTCTTGCCGTACTGCTCCACCATTGGCCGATCAGAGACACCAGCATATTCTAGTCTAAGCCGCAGATTTATCTAGAATTTTAAACTGCTGCGTTAGCCTTTTTATTTTTCTGTACACCGAGCTGGGGATCGAACCCACATACACTCAACCATTCGCAGTGACGCGAATGAGAACTGGCCGCCCAGCCTGCTTGGCTATCTGACCGACCAAGATCAAGATGTTTATAACAGCTGATAATTCATGAAGTAATAAATATTTTTGTTTGAAAATTGGAAAATGTCAATTGGACTTACAATAGTTATACTACCATTTAGTATATACATCAGGTCTGTGACGACATTATATTAAAATAAAATTTAATGGATCATGGGGATGAAGGTGAGATCAGCCGAAAGGCTTTTTTATCCAACAAATTAAACTGTTTACCACAATGATGGTATTAAGGTTAATAAATATGCTAAATTTTCAATTTAACGGCGCCATCTTTAAATTAACCTAAAACTAGCATATTTTATAGTTTTTAATGTCATTTCTTGTGTTCATACCACTAACAAGTTCATTATAGTTTTAAAACAGAAATTTTAAATATCGTGAGTTTCATACATGAGTAAAAATGCCTTTCCTATTCACATCTAATGAATACGTAGATATGGTGTTGAGTTATGTTGAATGTAGGAAAAATACTTAAAATGCTCTAGTCTTATATACGCAACGCTTTCCCGAAAGAAGAACATTACCGTAACTTTTGCTACGGTTGATGAAAAGATTTATTCCGAACGCTAAACATAGAGATTAGGTCAAACCAATACAGACTGAACAAAATTTGGTGAATGTTTTAGCATATGTCCATTGCTGCAGAAAGTGCAATATCTTCAACAACAGTTCAAAGGATTCTAAAAAACCATTAACATCCATTTAAACTGTGTTTGGTTCATGAATTGTTACCCTTCCATTTGGATCGAAGACTAACCTTCATCACCATAATGCAAGAGATGCAAGCCATTCACGACTTTTTACCTGGAATTTTGTGGAATGATACAGCTCGTTCCCATTATAATGGGAAAATCTGCGTTGGTTAAGAGAGACTTGCTTTTAAACTATGTGGGAACTTGTTGTTTGGTGTAGGTTATATAATGGGCATTTAAGAGGTCTCAACTTTTTGAAGAATATCTGAATGGTCAGAGATATCTGAATTTTCTGAAAAACGAGCTACCTTTGTTACTAGAGAATATTCTTTTACGACAAATAGGAGTTATAGGATGTCAACAATTGTATAGGTCTTGTAATCAATTAAGTTAATGCCACATTTTCAAAAAGATCGATTGGAACTAACAGACCCATTTGATGGCTTCGAAAATTGGCTATTCTATCACCATTAAATTTTTTGTATAGGGCCACTTAAAAAAATCGTTTATAACGAAGAACATTTTGAACAGTTGATTATTGTTTAAATGAAACATTAAAATAAAGATTAAGCGTACTTATTTATATTAATACTTCCATTGTGGTCATGTGGAAATGTGTAAAAATTATATTAAAGACGCAGCAAATAACATTCAAGGGCCGCAAAGACCACCACCACGCAATGAGTGGTTCGATGCTGAGTGCAAGGACATGACAAGAAGAAAGAACAATACATATAAACTGATACAACAAAGAATAATCCGAGAAAAAGAACAAAAATATAAAGAATTTAGAAGAGAAGAGAAGTACATCCATCGGAGAAAAAAGGGAACTTATAAAAATAGAATATTGGAAGAAATTAAGGCATTAAAAAAGGAAAATCAAACAAGAAAATTCTATAAAAATCTAAATAATGCAAGAAAAGAATTTAAACCAAGGATCGGACTATGTATGGATAAGGAGGGACATATACTTAATAAAAAAGAAGAAGTATTGAAGGTGGGTGGAACACTATAAAGAACTACTTACTGTCGAAGTAGAAGATCCAAATCAATCACCCCCAGGAGCAAGCAACAATACACCATTGGAGCCTCTACCAATTCAAGAAGTATGGGATACAAAAAGAACCTAGAAGTGATTGTATGCTCGCGGAACTAATTAAATGTGGAGGTGCTACTCTGACTAACCATATAAATATATATATATATATATATATATATATATATATATATATATATATATATATATATATATATATATATATATATATGCGGTGGCATCTGTGAAAATGGTGTTTGGAGAAGGAGGTATAACTACGAGATACATCACAGATATAAATATATATTTGGAGGTAAAGACGTAGTATCTCTTATCAAAATACAAAGACTAAGATGGGCAAGACATCTGGTAAGATCATAGCAGAACAATCCTCGTGGAAGAATCCTTATGTCACAACCTGTGGGAAGTAGAAGTAGGGGTAGGAAAAAACTCAGATGGAGGGATGGTGTAGATGAGGATGGTAGAAAAATAGGCGCAGCAAACTGGCAACAGTTGGCAATGGATAGAACTGACTGGCGTAATAGACTTGGGAAGGTCAAGGCTCTTGTATAAAGCTGTAGCACCAATGATGATGATGACTTCTATTGTGGTACACCGTTGCATTTGGGATGAAAACCCTTTCGTTTGATCTTACCCTCAACCCCCTGATCCACTTCAGCACCAGTGATGACGTCACCTATCTTATATATACATTAATTGCCAGTATTATAGGTCAAATTAACATTTCCCAATTCTCAAATAAAAGTATTTATTATTTCCTGAATTATAGGCTGTTAAAAACGTCTTGGAACACTCTGTATTTTATCAAACTTACTCACTTCCAAAATCGACCTCTATATGATTTTCATTTATTTTTCATCATTTCATCAATTTTTCCATAATCGTGAATTTATAATTTTGAATAGTATAAATTTACTTTTTACCGCGTATAAAAATTATATAAAACAGTGTAGAAATTTGACGCAACAAATTTACCGAAAATTTACGAAATTGTAAGATGTAAATGTTTTCGTATTATCCGAAATATTTCAAATAATCTCTATATTTTAATTAGCTTGCTCAGCTTTTCATACAAATGAAGCCATACACTAACAATACAACACTGCACTTACATTGTAGTAGATATCAGGATTGTTGCTATCGTAGAGAAGGGCCCTCTCGTATACTTCCTGTGCCTCTTTGGTCCTATTCAACCTTATCAATATATCTCCTCGATTAATATAAGCTTGCGTATAATCCGCTCTCATACTTATCGCCTGCCTATACAGCATGTCGGCCTCTTCCAGTCGTGTCGAGTTTTTCGATATTAAATTAGCGAGATTTAAGAAAACGTTTAAATGATTGGGTGCTATCCGGGCTTGGTAACTCTCACCCGGTTTAGCTTTAGGTAGAAGAGATTTGGCTTTCAAGTATGCTTCCTCGGCTTCCTTGAACATTTTCAGATGATTGTAAGTTCGTCCTACGTTTATGTGAGCACCTGGAAAAGAGAAAATATCATTACTGGATGAAAAACATGAAAATATGTGCTTGACCAAAGTTGAAAACACTAAAAACTCATAGCGACCACCAATGTAGTAAAAAATATTTTAAGTTAATGACTTTAACCTGGCCAAATTCAAATTGTTGGACAGACAAGTCGAAAACGTAGATGAATCAAGTAATTTATTAATACATACTTTTTTAACACAAGGTGTAATAAATTCCCGGCTTAAAGCCGGGAATGGCTAACCTCACTCAAGAAATGAGCAGATTTGATCTAGATATCGTTGGGATCTCAGAAACCTGGTGGCCTGGATCCGGTAAATGCACTACAGAAAGCGGAACATTCTTTTACTCAGGCAATAATGACCGCGATTATAGAAAAGGCGTCGGGGTTATGATAAATAAAAGATTGGTGAGAGCTGTCACAGAGTTTGTACCATATTCCGACCGCACAGCCTTAGTAAAACTTGAAGCGAAGCCAAATAATCAGATTAAGTAGTGGAAAACTTTTATAGTGAAATCAAAGAACTACTTAAATTGACAAAGAAACATGATGTCAACATAATTATGGGAGATTTTAATTCCAAAATAGGGAAGGGCAGCTTTGAAGACATAGTTGGACCCTATGGTCTTGGAACAAGGAACGAAAGGGGCGACCGACTTATACAATTTTGTCAAGAAGAAAACATGAGAGTTACCAACACATGGTTCCAACTCCACCCCCGTCGCCTTTATACTTTTAAATCTCCAGCCGATAGAGCTCATAACATAATAAGAAATCAGATAGACTTCATTCTTATAAACGGTAGATTCAGCACAACTGTCAAAAGAGCTTGCACATACCCTGGAGCAGATGTCCCTTCTGACCACGTACTATTAGTGGCCGTCATAAAGATCGCTCTTTCATGCAAGAACAAGCCTGAAACTCAACAACAGATAGCACTGGATAAACTGAAAGACCCAGTGATACAAGCAGAAATAAGCAATGAAATAAACGCACAATTTCAAATATTGACGACAAACATTACCCAAGATCTAACACCAACATGGAATACGATTACAAGTGCTGTAACAGACATCATGAAAAACAACTTAGGGTACAAACGAAATAACAAGAGGAAAAATGGATGACAGACGAAATACTATTACTAATGGAAGAACGACGAAGACACAAGAATGACCAAGATGGCAGCAATATGTATGAAAACATTAAAAGGCAAATAAAAGCAAAAATAAGAATAGCAAAAAATGAATGGCTTAAGCAACAATGTATCGATCTAGAACATTTACAACGACAGCACGACGACCGTAGTTTACATAAAAAGCTTAAGGAGACTGCTGGAATATACAGAAAACGAAGACCAACTACCATAGTTAATCACGATAACCAGATAGTGCTGGGTAAAAAGGAGAAAATTGATATATGGGAAAATTATATCCAGGAGCTCTTCCATGACGAAAGACCCATGAGTGAAGTTTATACAGACGACCAGCTGACTGGCCCTTCAATCACCAAAGAGGAGATAGAAAAAGCAATATTAAATTCAAAAAACAATAAAGCACCTGGACCAGATGAGATCTCGTCAGAAATACTTCAATTACTAGATGAAAGGGGAATTTTAGCACTACACAAAATATTTAATTTAATTTATGAAACTGGCTGCTATCCTCAACAGTGGTTACGCTCTACCTTTATTCCCCTGCCCAAGAAAGTCAATGCAAAAAGATGTGAGGATCACAGATTCATTAGCCTGATGAGTCACATTTTAAAGATATTCTTAAAAAAAACTACATCAAAGATTATACACAAAATTTCGGGTTCGGGTTTAGGCAGGGTTTAGGAACAGGAGAAGCAATAGTAGCAACACAGGTGCTGGTCCAAAATTGATACGATCAGAGGAAGGATGTGTTCCTATGCTTTTTAGATTACCAAAAAGCGTTTGATCGTGTCCAACACCACAAGTTAATGCAGATTCTCAAGAAAGTTGATATATACCAAAAAGACATAAGATGCATTGAAAACTTGTACTGGCATCAAACGGCACAGTTAAAAATAGACAATTCTATATCCAAACCCATACATATAAGAAGAGGCGTTCGACAGGGATGTGTGCTTTCCCCTATTTTATTTAACATTTATTCGGAAGCCATATTTCAAGAGTCTTTGGAGGATGCAGAGATGGGAATCAAGGTGAATGGAGTATTGATCAACAACATACGATATGCTGATGATGGTGTCTTAATTTGTGACAACATATTCAATCTTCAACAACTTGTCACTATAATCGGAGAATACAGTAAGCGAATGGGATTAGAGATTAATACCAAAAAGACCAAATTCATGATCATCTCCAGAAACTTGGATGCACTTGAAAACCATAACACTGAATACTAAATCCATTAAAAGAGTGAGTAAATTTAAATAAGTAGGATCGTGGCTTTTTGAAGACTGGGCATCGAACAGGGAAGTAAAATGTCGCATTGAGCAAGCTCGACAAGCGTTCGTAAAATTCAAGAAGGTACTGACTTGTTCAGAGTTCGATCTTCAACTGAGACTAAGGTTTACTAAGTGCTACGTATGGTCAGTGCTGCTATATGGCGTAGAGGGCTGGACACTCAAAACGAGGAATATAAACAGATTAAAAGCTTTCGAAATGTGGCTTTCGTCATGGCTTGGTCGTCATCAGTACGGTGATGCCAAGTTAGAAAAAGATCATGTTAACTTCGGAAAAAATGAATGCCGTATAGAAAAAGTCTGGAGGGGTGAAATTTAAAAAAGCTAATTGGCTAGGAATTATTTTAGAAGGAGAAAGGAGAAAAGACAAAAAAAATGGAATCAAGAAAGGGGGATTATCGTAGAAAATAAATGTTGCAAGAACCTGGTTGTCAAAGCTTATAAGTAGATTATTTCCGAAACAAGTTTTTAATTAGTTACAAAAACATGTAAGGGAAAATGATTGCTTTAGGGGAGTCCTGGATATACTGGAGACATTTGACCCCTGAGATACAATTTAAAATATTTGCTTTCCTTTTGACATGGCTCAAAATTTTATATAATTGATGGATTCGACCGTTACTTGAACACACTAAATTTTAGAACACAATAAATTTTCACCTAAATTTACCATAAAAAATACAATAGAACTAGTTAATAAAATACAACATTTTCAATTACCTAACAACTCCAGATTAATTTCATTTGACGTAAAAAATCTTTTTCCTAGTATCCCTCCTACAGAAACTTTTATTCTAGTAAAAAAAGTAAAGTTCGTGTAACCTTCTGGCTAAGGTCTAGTGTTAGGGTTTTAAGGTCGCGCAAGAGCCCCTAACATGACTTAAGGAGTACTTTCGTAGCCGGGACCGACGGCTTAACGTGCCCTCCGAAGCACGGTGGCAGCTCAGTTAAATTAGAAATTTTTAAATTTTTGTCGGTGCCGGGATTTGAACCCGGGCCCTCCAGCTTGTTAAGCCAGTAACATAGCCACTAAGCTACGGCTCCCACATTTTATTCTAGTAAAAAACCTTTTAGACCAAAATAGTACAAATCCAATAATTACATCTGAAATTTTAGATCTTCTTGAAGTTTGCATAAACCAGGACTACTTTGAATTTAATAATATAATATATACAAATAACAGTGCAGGACTTATAATGGGTAATCCTCTAAGCCCATTGCTATCAGATATTTTTATGAATTATCTAGAGACAAATATTTCAAAACATCCCGTATTCAAACAGTTTTTATATTGGTGAAGATACGTAGACGACGTACTGGTATGTTTCACAGGAACTAACAGGCAACTCGACCAATTTTTATCTTATATTAATTCACTTCATAGTCATATTGCATTTACAATAGAAACAGAACAAAATCAATCCATAATTTTTTTACATTTAAAAATTAGCAGACTTCAAAACAAACATGACTTCTCTATATTTCATAAACCTACCCATACTGACACGACTATACACAATTCATCATCCCATCCAATACAACATAAACTGGCAGCTTATCATAGTATGTTACATAGATTAACAGAAATTCCGATGTCAAAATACAACTTTGAGACAGAATTAAATATAATTAAGCAAATAGCAGTAAACAACGGATACAACGAACAAACAATTAATAAAATGTTAAATCAAAAACTACACAAGAAAGCCCTGAAATTAGTATTTCCACCACCAGAGAAAAAACCCAGTACCTTCTGCTCGATTACATATACAGGCAAAATAACAACAAAAATTGCCAAACACATAAAAAAGAAAGGAATAACACCAGCTTTCTGAACAAATAGCAACCTAGGCAAATATATTAAAAATATCAAGAGCAAAAATAAAAACACTTAAATAGTGGTATGTACAAATTTCAATGTGGTGACTGCTCAAAAACTTACATCGGTCAAACTGGTAGAAACTTTAATAAACAAATAGCAGAACATAAAAGGGCTTTCAAAAATAGGAAAACAGATTCGACATACGCACTTCACCATCTAGATCATAATCATTCTTTTAATGACAAATTTAAAATTCTTCACATTCAAAATAAAGGCCTTAAGCTATCTTTGTTAGAATCTATGGAAATCAACAAATTAAAAAACACAGATATAATTCTGAATGACCAACTTTAGACAAACAGTTCTCCCCTCCTCAACCTATTTCATTAGAGGCTATAAATTTTTCAACCCAAGCCAAAAATAGATAACTTTTTAAGAAGAATGTTTTTTTTTTATCAGAGGCCAGAAATTAATTGTTTCATTGGAAAGTTTGTCGTTATTTTATATTGAAAAGAACTACCTATACATGTTACTGGAATAATTACTGGAGTCTCCGATTTAGTTAGAAAGTCAACTTTTCTGTGTAAAATTATACATTTTTTTTTAACAAGAAAATTATTAAAAATCGTTTATTGTGGACATTTGAATTATTTTTATTATTATTTAAAGAATAGTCAGTAATACAGTCAAAAAGTAGTTTTTGATCTAATAAGATAAC